CTGCATTCATGAGCCCCAGCATCAATCCCCCCAGAGCCTGATGACCACAGCTCTTGAAGTCACCCACCACCCAGCTCACCACGAATCCCAGCATCATATTCAGTGACTGCAAGCATCCAGAGACCAGGCTGACGCACACTTGTAGGGTGCTGTGCTGGGGCTACAAATCCCTGTTGCTAATAGTAGCACAGCACAAAAATGAGAGTCTATCAGAACATGATTTATTTCCTGATGGTGCCTTCCAAACCCCCACCAGTTTTGAAAATATCAAGCTCCTGTTGTGAAAATATCAGGCTCTGCAGAGAATTAAATTTGTCAAAAATAATGAAAGCTTTGTTCTTTTCATCATATAATATCTAACTTTTTTTTTCTCCAGTCAAAGTTCCTTTCTGGTCTTGGACTAACTACTTTTTCAGCTTGCAGCAACAAGCATTTGCTAATAATAATCACTGGATCGCTTGGAAACTGGTTTCACAAAATGTCCTTGATTCTGGTTTGTGAAGGAAGAAAAGACACGCAGAATTAGCCATGAGTTTTCACTCAGCAAGAATGGTGTGTGCATACTGCTTTCCAGATGCAAAAGCAAAAGCATGATTCCTTGCCTGAACTTTATGCAATATAGATAAAAGCACGTGCTTTTGTGAAATACATTTAAGATGGCTGTGCGGTCAGTCGAGTCCTGTGCCTCTGAAATGACCTGGTGGATTACGGAAAGACATGGCGTTAGGGTGAAGGCCTATTGCATACATGAGGTATTAACTAAATTGGAATATACATCTTGCTTTCTTGCTGTACGATGTCTTGAGTATCCCAGAAATCTTGGGTTAACCCTTCTGTGGGTGGAGGCAGGCAGTTGTATTTGCAAGGCAAACTGCTGTGGTGCAACGCATGTCCATGAAGAAATACTCAGGCGGGGATCATTTTACAAGGCCACAGCGATGCCAAGTGTTCCAGAGAGATTCAAAGCATGGCTTGCAGCAGGCGTTAGGGGGGTTTGGCACGCGGTGCAGGATGCAGCTGGGTGCTCTGGAGGGTGCCCAAGAGGGGTGCGTGGAGCAGGCAGGAGTGTCATGGCTCTGATGGGAGATGAGTAGCTGTCTGAGCAGCTGTGGGGGCCAGAGAGGGTGTCCCAGGGCACACAAAATACACCCAGTTATTGCTCATTGAGTCATGATCCCACTTCTATTAGCTATTAATGCTTAGGTGCCTATGCTGCTCATATCTTCAGCAGCCCTGGTCCAGCCTAGGCTCGAAGGGCAATCCTGCTGCCTTGCCTGTGGTGCAGACCACCCCGGCAGCCCCGCTCAGCCAGATTACCCCCTCCAGCAGGCAGCCCCAAACCCCACATTGAGCCCTGTCTGGTTGAGCAGCAGTCTCCTCCATGCCACGGGTGCTGAAGGCTCCTCCCCGGAGCCAGACTTTTTGGGCTCTGGGCAGCACTCAATGACCGTGCATTGCACACCCTGGCAAGGCTTGGCTTCAGCTGGGGGTCTCCAGTGGCTGGCTCTAGCTGCGGGGTTTGATGGCATCACTCTGGGTGGGAGGCAAGGAAGAGCCCTTGCATTTGCCAGCCCTCTTGCAGAGACCTGATTTACCCTCCTGACTCAGGGGGTACGCATGCCAGGGTCCTGCCTCTGTCCCTGGCTTGCAGCAGATGTTTCGAAAGAGAGCGCAAGAAATCCTGAAGGTGACAGCTACAGAATAACCTGCCAACGGGGAAAATTTCCTCCAAATCCTATTACTCAGAGGTTGGCTTCAACACTGGAGCATTAATCTCTATATCTCCTGTAAGTGCTGTCTGTGTTTGTTTGCTCTCTACATTCCCACCACAGTAACTCTGAATCTTCTGGGTATCCCAAGCGAGGACAAAGGGTCTCACTTGCATTTTTCTGTTTAAAATAGAGAAATTCTTTCAGTTAAGGCTAGGAATAAAAAATAAAGTGCAGTCCCAGATATTATGCCTGTCCTGGAAGGACTTTATAATCACTTTTCTACTCTTAGGAAATAGTTTTGCTCCCGGCAGAAGGCTACACCAGCGACAGTGACATCTGCCTGGTAGGCTGTTCAAAGAGCCAGAGCACATTAAATGCATGGAATAAGTGATGGCGAATAACGCAGTTCCAGTTGCACCATATTACAGGGGGATGGGAATGGTAGGGACACAAATAAGTGTGAAGGTACGGCACTCAGGTGATGCTTATACATTATTGCTTCTAATTTTCTAAATCATTACCAATGAGGGAGATGGACAGGTAAATGCCAGCATGAACCATCAGCAGGATTTGGTAGAAATCTCAACCGTCATTCTTAACTTGACAGCGTACTTTAAACACAGAAAACTTCAGATTTAAAATAAAGCCCTTTTCATCTGATAAAGTTGCCAGGAAGATTAAATGATGAAACATATTGAACTGTGGTGCTGCCAGCTCATCCCCTCTCAGCAGGCACGATGCTGCAAAGCTGGGTCTGAATCCTGTCCTTCAGTGAGGAACACTCTCAGCCCCAAAATATCCCTGTCTCTCTCCATGGCTGGCCAGGTGGCTTACCCTGACTGCTTCTGCTGCCGGGTTCTCCCAGGAGTGCAAAACTTGCTCAAGAAAGGGGCTTTCCATAGGGATTTTCTGCGAGGAGCAGGAGCACAGCACATATGAACATGATGTTCATGACACAAGGGTCTGTCTGCCTTGTGTATTTGTTCAGCATCCTTTCATATGACTGAGGTGCCTTAGTGTTACCTCAAAATACCAATATCCCTACAATAGCCTTATGGGAAAGAGAGTACATTAGGTATAAAGCAGAGAGAGACATGAAGGTGAAATAAAAATTGGAAGGAAGAATGTACTTAATGAGAAAATGAGAAAATGGTTGTGGGTAAAAAAAATCTCTGCTCAAATGCTGAGAGAGTATTGAGATAATATCAAATTATTATCCAAAAAGACCATGGAAAAGGCTGGGATACAAGAAAGACTAAGAGTATAGAAGAATGAATGGAGAATACAAAGAAAAATGGGAAAGAAATAATCATTATTGTCAAATTTTTATTTTGTAGAAAATTTGCTTTTGTACAGCATCTGACTTAACCATCTATCAAACAGACAGCCTCAAAGAAATTCACAGCCCTAGAAATGAAGGCCAAAGACAAATTGTATATGCTTCACTTTGACTCTTGGAAGCTACAGATGTTCATTGTTTGGATACACAATGGACAGATTAATGGATTAATGTCTCCAGATGTTCACCATCCATCCTCCCAGAACATTAATGGGCAGGCCAGGGAATGAATGCTTTTAGCAGAAACTTCAGTTTCCGCTAGTGCTTCAGATGAAGCATTTTGTTAGTGTTTATTTTCTGGAGAGCACCTGCTCCAAATGTGGGGATCCTACACTACAGAGCAATGCCCCTCTGTGCCAACACCATACGAAGCCTGCAAACTGTCCATACTAGTGCTGGTGAATTGACTTGCACAGAGAATGAGAATCCAGCATTCCTTTTGACTATATTACCTGATAGGAATAAGCAAATATTTAAAATTATAAAAGTATTTAAGTGATTGAGTGGCTCAGATATCAGCACAGGGATAGTAATTCTCTTGAGCCACAGACATAATTAGGCAACTCCTATAAGAAATTTGAAGTGGAATTTGTCAATAATTATACTTCTTATTCACAGAGGAAAAAAACATGCATGAATTTAGCATCATCAAATGTGATACAATTAGTTGTCAAACTTTTATTTATTCTTGTAGAAAAACTTGTGATGACATTTTTCGGAAGGGTCTAGATAACAAATGCCCATTTGAATTTTAAGAGAAAAGCCACTTACTACCAATTCCCAATGCCATGTTATATAAAGAAGTAGGTGAAACACTGCTGAAGAATAGTAATTCAGCAGCAGCACCCAAGTCCCCCTGAAAATTATTCAGATAGTTTTGAGAATACTACCTTTAATATTATTGGCATGGTTCCCTCTCATTCCCATTCATGAATTCCCACTGGCAAAAAGTCACCTTTCGCTGAAGCAAACAGACATAGTCCTAGAAAAAATACCATAAGTGAAGGAAGTACACTTGTTGCCTTCAGGGTATGAATTTATAGAGAAAACAAAGCCGGATTTGGTCTTCCACTGATGTGGAAAGGATGTTAAAGTTGCATGTGCTTTTTTCAACTTGAATAATTTCAGTGAAGTGGATGCTCAGGTGGCAGCTGGGAGGACTTGAGTTTCTCAGCTTGGGCTACAGCTCCATTACAGATTCATGCTGTCCTGCAGTGGAGTACCTCACCCTGAGAAGAAGAGCAGTGCTCTGCAAGAGGCCGTGCCGCTTTGCTGGTTCTTCTGCTGGTGCTGCGCTGAGCGGCACCAGTTTCACCATGGGATGGTCTGGTCACTTCAGCTGGCCTGAATGTGCTCTCAGAATGCCTTTGCCATAAACCAACGGAAAGAAAAGACCTGAAAAATTGAAGGTATAATCCTGGCTCTTCTCCAGTGAAATCATTGAGGAATTTAGCTACTCCTTTCAAGAGAACAAGGACTTCACTCCAAAAGATTGATAGCCCAATATCCTGCACAAGATCTCTGGGAGCTCTTGTATGCAGCAGTTTCGAAAAAGCACTCACTTCTGCCTGCAGGTGGGTAACCTTCTTACATATAAAAAAACCACATTTTGTAACAGCCAGCAGAAAAAGATAAGAAAGAGACCTGGACAGGAAAAATAAGATTAAAAAATAGCATGCCATTAAAACAAGTATAAATAAACATTATATTACATGAGTGAACTGTGTTTTCTTTGGTGTATGTGCCATTTTTAATTAATTCATACACTAAGTGCTAAAGTGTTTCCTAATGCCATTAGGTGGTGCTTTCAGTAAGTAATAGAATAAATAGTTCTTGCATGATTCTTTTCTGCATCGTGTTCTCATTTTCTTAAGTAAAAGAAAATTTAAACAAGACACCATGGGTGCCTCCTCCTTCCAAAGCCCACCGACCTCGCACAGAGCTGTGTGTCACGTTTCTGAGGCACTCTGGCTCCCCTCGGGAGTGATAAACTGCACTTTGGGCACGATAAGGGAGGGATTCGTTCTCCGCATGGAGTTGCTCCTCCGAATGGAGTTGTTTCTCCTCATGGAGTTGCGTTTCCGCAGGGAGTTTTGGTGGGACAGCTCACTCTTCTGCAGGGTCTGGATGAGAATGGAGGGCTTCTCGTCAAGCTCTCGAGCGCTGCAACGTGGCGCTGCCACTTTGACGGTGTTGCCAAACTTGGAGTAGTCAACGGCGTACACGCCTTCCTCTTCAGTGACGATGGGTACAAAGCGGTGACCCCACAGAATCTCCTCTGCTATGTAGGAGGTTCTCGCCTGCGTCGTGATGCCCGTCGTTTCTACAACTCCTTCAAGTATCACGATGAGCTCCAGGTCCTGGAGCACCAGGTCAGCAGCAGAGATATCGTAAAGAGGACTCCGCTTGTCTATGACATGACAAATTATTAAGGGAGCCACGAGGAAAATATTGTTGCTTTCAATGGGGTTATCCACAGGGATATCTACTTGGTGAATGGGTATGACTTCTCCTTCAGGGGTTGTAGTCTTCCTCACAACCTGGATTCTCACCGAGGCACTAATGATCATGCTTTTCCTCAGGTCTCCCACTCGAAACATAAAGCAAAGTTTGCCATTTCGAACTGCAATGACCGCCTGACGGCTGAAAATCAAGGTCTCAGCCCGCCTGTGAGCCTGTGCGGTTTTCATGAATATGCAGCCCAGCATGACAGCGTTGATGATCAGACCGACAATGTTCTGCAGGATCAAGACCGTGATGGCCAAGGGACATTCCTCTGTCATCATCCTGCCCCCAAAACCAATGGTCACCTGAACTTCAATGGAGAAGAGGAAAGCGGAGGTGAAAGACCTGGAGAAGAAGATCGCACAAAGTTAACTCTAAGGACATCGAACACAAACTGAGAAGCTACTAACATATACTTTCTAGAAAAAAACTTAAGGACCTATTTGTACAGTCCTGGTACACTTAAGCCTTCTGTTAATACCTGCAAAAGCATCTCATGCTCTGTGATTCTGTTTTTTTTATGATTGGTGCAGTATCTGATGGTGACAGGGAAGACCTCAGAGCCTGAACTCCTAAAAGACCATCTGTAACACTAAGTGACCATGACAAGCTCACTAGATCCTGTGTTCAGGAACATATGCTACCCACTGTCATCAGTCGACAGTGCTGTAACACCTGGGCTTTCCACCTTCTCCATCCCATGAAGCTCCTGGTGGAGAGTGGTGGTTTTGGCACTAGCGAGCAATAGGCTGGCATGCCAAGATTCTTCCACCTGCCCGTGCAGGGAAAGGAAATGGGGAAAATTGCAGCATTTCACTCATGCTACCTGAGCCGTGACCCTCTTTATCAGGATTTCCTGGAGGGAAAGGGGACAGGCCCAGTTTCGTGACACTTCCCAAACCCTTGCTTGCCTTGCAACTGAGCCCACAGGATCAGGCTGCAGAGAGAGGCTGGTGGCCTCCACGGATCCCTCTGCACATCCTGGCAGGACGACAGCGCTGTGACCCAGGGTCTGGGTTTAGTCCACTGTCACGGCAAAACGAGCTGGAAAATTTCCACACAGGAGTGGGTTGTAGAATTGTGGGTTGACTTAAATGTCCCTAATATTCTATAGTGCTGGACATCAGAGGATGCTGTCCGCAAACTTTCCAAATACATTATTTATAGTAGTCCACAGTGCCATATTCCTTGTATACACCAGGGTCTTTCATTTCCTTCTATAACCAGAGACATCCTTCACCAATGTCTCTTATGCCCCAAATCAGTACCCTGGGGTTTATCGGGTAGACAGGCAGCACACTGGGTCTCAGATGAACTAATATCAGTCACCTTTTTAACACAGTGCAATCCACCAACATTTGAAGTGTTATCGTGTTCAGCATGGCTTTACCTATGGAAAATATATGTCCTGTCCATGAAGATGGTTCTAAACCATTCATTGGTTTTGGTTTGCTTTTCAATTAATCTGCTTTTAAACCACTTTTTCTTATTTTTTTTTCCTAACTGTATTTTCAGTGAACCTGGGGTCATGAGGAGACATTAAAATATCCTAGGCAATATCAGGGATCATTTTCTGTAGAATGAGAAAGTTCACCTTTCAGAAAGCCAGCCAGTCTCTGCAGCCGTATCTTTGAAAAAAACTTTATCTGTTTTTGCCTTTTCTATTTTTTTAATCTTTGGCAGATTCCCTTAGATTGAGGGGTTTATTTTTTCATTTCACTCTGAAGAACTCAGGGATGAAGGAGTTAATTAATAGAATTCATGGAATGATTCTGTATGTTCATGAATATTCAGTTGCATGCAGAATGAAGCTTCTGGCTTAAACTTAATTCAACTTAATTCAGTTTAAAGCTCTGTGGAGTAAATATTCTGATTTCCCTTAACAGTACTCCTAAAAAAAAAAAGGAAGGAAAGGAAAGGAAAGGAAAGGAAAGGAAAGGAAAGGAAAGGAAAGGAAAGGAAAGGAAAGGGAAAAGAAGAGAAAAGAAGAGAAAAGAAGAGAAAAGAAGATAAAAGAAAATTCATCTTTCTATAGTGGAAGTAACTGAAGCAGCAAGTTTTTACAGTGTTTTGACCATGTGAAGAGGGAGCCAGAAACTCCAAATCACACTGTTGCCAGGTCCTTCCCTTTAGAGCTGTTTAACAGTTTTCCTCTTTGGATAATGTTTGCTTTGTGTGGCAGAGTTGTGAGACACAGACATTTCTGCAGTACTTTGAAAAGTTAAAAGTACTGTGCAAGTTCTAGGCTCTGGTTAAAATTTCCCAAACCAGGTTGCCCATAAATCTGGAATGGCACCTACCCAAGGCAGATCTCCTGAAATATCTGTGGGCCTAAATCTCAGGAAAGTAGGTTAAAAAATATTTGCCATTATTTTGGCATACATAACATTGCAATATTAAATATGTTTTACATACAACAGCTTACTATTCTTAAAAACATCAGCAATCTTATTGCTATTTCACGACTTTGTCCAAAGTGGTAGCCAAATTTAAAAAGTATGTGAGTTCTTTGTCATGGGCTAAACCAGAAAGTTACACCGCTTCATTGCTCTGCTTTTTCACCCCCATCCTTGGAAGAGCCACTTTGTGTGGGGCTGCTGCAGCCAGGGCTATGGGGAGGGAGCGAAGGGCAGAGCCATGGACATGGGTCTCCCTTGCCACAGCGTCACGAAGCCCTCAGCGGCTGGCTCGGGCTCTGCAGGGTGGCCCAGGAGGCCCATGGGGAGCCCCAGGGGGTGGGACAAGCCCAGGGGGCTGCCAGCCAAGTGGAAGGATGTCCTCCCCAGCTGACCCTGAAGAGCCAGCTGGGCGTAGCTACTTGCTAATTTGGGTTGGACAAACCCCACAAATCCCAGAAATGCCAGGGGCGACACCCCAGCAGGCGCAAGCTGGGTCATGATGTCTCATTTAAGAGGCAACTGCTTGTGGCCAGTTACTGGAAAAGATGTAAGACAGCAACCACGTCCCCTCTCCCCACCCCAACCACCCAACCTAAGTAAGGTTAGCCTGGAAAAATCCCCATTTCCTTTAGCTTGGAAAATCCCCGTTTAGCCACAAAGCATCAAAACAAAAGCAGAATTAAACCTCCTTTCCTTCATGACCCACATACAATGTCCCTTCAAACTTGGTGAAGTGCCTCAAACCTATGTGCAGGAGAAAGGGGAAAATGGAAGAGGATACTCTGGTGCCTCAGCGGACCCTGCAGCCCCCCCGGTCCCTCACAGCACTGCTGATCTGGGGCAGCCTGGCTGTATCAAATCAGGATTTTTCTGCTTAAAAACCTACTGTTGTAAAAAGAGATCCTACCGATGAGGTGACGAAGTGATCTTATTGCTTACCCCCACCTCCAGTTAACAAACACTTCTCTGTTCCGTGTATGTATGTGTAAGTTTATTGGTGCCTCAAAAATTGTTGTGGCTTTGGGGATGGAGAGTGACATACTTTAATGGGTGACATTTAACCTAGTAGTCCCTTAAGCTTTCACTGTCTGACACATCATGCACGTCATGGAAATTGTTCCTCTTTCAAACTGCTGGCCTATGGCTTCATCAAGGTATTTTGGAGCGCCCTGTATTTAACGGTCTCATGACAGTCACCCTGAAAGACCTCTAGTTTTGCCCCCAGTGGCACTTTTCTTGCTAGCCTTGCCTGACACCCGTGGCCGGTGCCCTGCCTCTCAAGGTCCGCTCTTGGGGTGGCCACCTTTTGCCGGCACGGCTCGCACCACACTGGGGATGCTCCCGCTGCCATAGACGACGTTACAATACGTATAACACATACCCACTCTTGCAGCAGGCTCTTATCTCGACAGGCAAGGTATGTTACCCACAGATTGTGGAGACACATGAAAAGCAGCAGGTCTCCCTCTCTTTCAGATCCTGTAAGGAATCAAAGAAATCTACAGTACAGTATTTTCCAAGCCGGGAAGGCTTGCTGAATTTATGTAATCTAGAGGAAAACACTGCACTTTTCAACTGTCTCAACCAAACACAATGGTTCATGTAAACCAAAAGCTGCATTTTAGGCATCGGCAGGACAGCAAGCAGCTCCATTCCCCCCCTTTCTTCATCCCACCGACCGTACTTTACCTGACACACGTCACGCATGGTGTCCACTTGGTGCTGTTCGTAGCGCTTTCTGTGCTTGGGTCCATGTCACCGTGGGCAAAAGCCACCAGCCACCACATCATGGCAAACAGCAGCCAGCTACACAGGAAGGACATAGTAAAGATGACCAGCGTGTGACGCCACTTCAGGTCCACCAAGGTGGTGAAAATGTCTTGCAGGAATCGCCCCTGCTCGCGGATGTTCTTGTGTGCCAGGTTGCATGCCCCGTTCTTGGCGATGAAGCGGGCTTTGCGTGGCCGGTCTCGGATGCGTGGCTTGCGCAGGTTCTCGGCAGCAATCCGTGCCAACACATACTCTTCAGGGATGATACTCTTCCGAGCCAACATCTTCCTGCCACCATAGTCCACTCAGCAAGATGTGAAATGGGGGGTGGTCCCTCTAGTGCGCCTCCGCAGGGCTTGCTTTACCCTGCAAAAAGAGAGAACCTGGTCAGATTTGTCACCCATGTACTACAGCAAGAAGCCCCAATTAAGCACCATGCACCAACAACCATTACGTTAAATGTCACTTGTATGACTAACTTATTCTACAGTGCCCTCCCTCTTTCAGACCATCATCTTCATATGAGCGAGTGGTATCAGCTCGCAACAGAGACGAAAAATGCTATTTTGACACTCCTTGCAGGAAGGGAAGCTGGAGAACAGTCTTGCAAACTTGGTGTAAAGTAACATGACGTACGACAGGTCGGTTCCTCAGGCTGTTTCTCCAGGAGGTAGCCGTGCCCAGGTGGGTACCGCAACACGGGGCACTAAGTTATTCGCATCCTTCAGGGCCTGAAGAATCAGACTCCTCTGGTTTGAACCAAAGTTGTTCTGCAGAGAGAGCGCGGAGAGCCATTTCTTAGGGCTACAGCCGGGCAGCGCAGCCGGCAGCCCTGCCGAAAGCCCGGTCCCCCGCAAGCATCACAGGGAGGAGCTGAGCCGGAGGCGCGGGAGGCAGGGAGCGGGACTCCACGGAGCAGGCGGTCGCGCTTCCCCCTGGCTGCTCTCCTTCCTTTCCGGGAGCCGGCGGGGAAGCCCTCCCTTTATTCCCAAACTTTCTCCCCAAGCTGTGACAGAACAAACCTACGGAAAGCCCGGCT